AATGAAAGATATTCCTTGTTCCTGGATAGGAAGAACCAACATTATGAAAGTGGACAAACTCCCAAAATTGTTATACAGATCTAATGCAATTCCTACCAAAATACCACCAACATAACTCACAGATCTAGAGAAAACATTCCTAAAATTTACTTGGAACCAAAAAAGACCTAGAATAGCAAAGGCAATCCTGGGCAACAATGGCAAGGCAGGAGGCATTACAATCCCTGACATGAAATTATACTACAAAGCTACTGTGATAAAATCAGCATGGTACTGTCAAAAAAACAGACCCAAGGATCAGTGGAACAGATTAGAACACGAAGATACAACTATAAACACACTCAGCCATCTTATCTTTGACAAAGGGCCAAACATGTTCGCTGGAAGAAAGATAGCCTCTTTAACAAATGATGCTTGAAAAACTCTCCAATGTCAAAAACTAAAACTAGGCCTGAGTCTATCACCATGCACTAAACTAAAGTTAAAATGGATTAAAGATCTAAACATTAAAACAGAAACACTAAATCTCCTGAAATGAAATTAGGTGGAAATCTGGAAAACATAGAGGTAGGCAGACAGTTCATAAACAAAAATCAAACTGCATGGGAAATACTTGAAAGTATCAACAAATGGGAACTCCTTTTATTGAGGTGTTTCTGCACATCAAAAGAAATCTCCAACAGAGTGAAAAAACAACCCACATATTTGGAAAAAATCTCAACCAACAATGATTCAGACAAAGGTCTTCTATCAAGAATATATAAAGAAGTAAAAAAATATTAGGGTCCCAAAATTTAAAGACCCAATAAAAAATGGGCATCTGAGATGAACAAACACTTCTCAGAGGTAGAAATACAAGAGGCAAATAAATACCTGAAAAAATTCTCCACATCACTGGCCATTTGAGAAATGCAAATTAAAACACTGAGATACCATCTCACCCCAGAAAGAATGGCTATCATAAAGAAGTCAATCGGGGGTGGGGGAGATGGCTCAGTGGAGTAAGTGATTCCCTGGCAAGTGCAAGGGCCTGAGTTCAATCCCCAGTTCTGAAAAAAAACATCAACCAACAACAAATGTTGGAGAGGCTTCTCCACTGCTCATGGGAATGTAGCTTGGTACAACCACTATGGAAATCAGTGTGGAGACTACTCCTCAAAAAACTAGGACTGGAAATCCCATTCAATCAGCTATTTCCCTTCTGGGTATTTTCCCAAAAGAACTGAGAACATCATAACAGAGTGATATACATGCACCCATGTTTATAGCAGCACAATTTGTCATAGCCAAGTCTTGGAAGCAACCAAAATGCCCATCAGCTGAGGGAATGGATAAAAAAGTTGTGGTATTTTTATACAATGGAGTATTACTCAGCTATAAGGAAAGACAAACACAAAGTTTTCACAGGTAAGTGGATGCAACTAGAGGCTATACTCATAAGTGAAATAAATAAGACCCATATGTGTAAATATTTTATTGTCTCCCAAGTGTAAGAACCCAAAAGAAGAAATAAAACCTGAAAGGTGTAACAGATATACTAAAACAGGAAGAAACAGAACTTAAGGATTAAACAACAAAGATGAGA